ACCGAGGGGTTAGGAGAGAGAAACGTGCAGATTCCTTTAATTAAGGAGTAAAAAATGTACAATTAATTATACCCTTAATTAATTATGGTATAGAATTGATAATTTGGTATACTAAGTGTAATTAAGTCAAACCTTAAACATTGAGGGTAATAAGATTTCCTATGTGGCATAGTATGTAAAAATCTCTTAGCACATTGCAACCATGGAAGTGGGCTGGACATTATTCTGTTTCATTATCTAATCAAACTCAAAAGGAGCCCGTTTAAAGGCCTATAGGTTTTATTATAAATAAAGGAAATTTTACCTCCTATAGCAAACATTTACACCTTATTTATTATAAATAAATACCTTTTTAAATAATTATCTTCTATAGCTACCTTTTAAGTTCTATAGTAAATTATTTATTTATGGTCACTTCCTACTGTTAAGCCTTTAAATACGCTGTGAAATATTTTTCTCTCTCCTACTTTCTATTCTTTCTCTCACACTAACACCGTATAGTATACAACTTTGCTAAACCCTCGATCTCTCTCCACTATCTCTCTCCCAACCCAGTATCTTCCCCACGAATACAATCACCATTATCAACGGATTCATCTCCATTTTCTCTCTCAAATTTGAGCACTTATGGATTGGTTCCGCCAACAACATTAGATGCCAATTTACTCCGTCAAAGATATGGTACCCTCCTTTGGGACTATGCTATGCGGAAGATAGACGCCGATGCCATAGGAGACAATGAAGCATGCGCAAAGATTGTTAGACGAATGACAGATTCGGATACTTCTGTGAAGATAGCTTTAGAATAGTTATTGCTGAATATAGTTTTTGAAGATAGTTTTTTGTGAATATTGTTTTGGTAAAGATGGTTATCTGTTAAGAACAACTCATGTATTCACTTTATGCACTGTACTCAAAGTGTTTATTCAGCAGTTTATAATTTCAAAGCTTCACTTTGTTTTACTGTTTTGTGCAACAGTATATATTCAGCAGTTTGTATTCATATGTATTCACCAGATGTATACATGTATTCAAATATATCTGGAGTATGTATTCAAATATATCTGCAATGTGTATTCATATGTATTCAAAATATATATGCAGTATGTATTCAGCAGTTTACTAAGAATAATCCTTTAGCAAACTATGGAATGTATTCATCAGATGTATATATGTATTCAAATATATCTTCGTTATGTATTCATATGTATTCCACTATATATTAAGCATTTGGTATTCATATGTATTCAGCAGATTGTAGTGTATTGCCATATGTAAAATCGAATTATATTGATTGTTGTATATATTTGTGTGAAATTCGAATTTTATTTAGTAAACAGAACTTCCACGAACGATAGCAACAAAGAAAGTCAGGATTGAATCTCTAGAGATTGCTCTGTTTTGGGGTATTTTTCGGCTGAGAATATTCTATAACTGGAAATGCAAATTATGCGTGTTATAATTGAGTTAGTTAAGTTATATTAGGAGTCTATCGCGTTAATTGATTTACTTACCGTTTTTAAACAGCTGAAAGGATCCATTTTTTTCCGCAGATTTACATTACTGTATTCACGAATACAGCTCGCGAATACAGTCAAATACATTCTCTGCTTATCTGGACTCCCCTGTTTTCCGCTGAGTTTTGCTACTGTATTCATGAATACAGTAGCAAAAATACATTGAATACAGTCTATAACAACTGAAAACATAGCTATAGGAAGTAATTTAGTAAATGATAGCTATAGCAAGCTAATAACCACTAAAAAATAGTGATTCGTGAAAACTTCTCTAATTTCTATTCAGGAAATTATACCTACTGACCTTGAAAATGGATAGTGTTGATTTTTTCACCCATGTTTGTTTCAGGAAATTCAACATATAATTTTTGCCGTCAAAAGTCAAAAATGTTGCTCACGGGCACGCGAGGGCAACACTTGTTAAACTTGAAATTCTGCCCATAAGATACTGGGGTCAAAAAATAAAAAATGACACACGAAATGTCTTATTTGTGCATATCACCCATTTCTATTTCCACAAGTGATGTACTCCCCCGTCAGCAATAAGTGTTTTGGCCTTTGACGCATCCCATAAGAAAATATAACTCATAAAGAAAAAAGGCAAAGTGACTAAATTATCCTTAATTAAGATTTATGTATTGTTAATGACACATTGAGATAAATAAATAAGGGTAAATTTTGAAAAAATAAAGTTAATTCCGTCTTGATTATGTAAAAAGATACTTATTTTAAATCAAAATAAAAAGATCAAAAAGTCACTTATTATCGACCGGAGGAAGTACCAAATAATGCACCTAAAAGAACAGTGTATAGAAGGAGAAGGAAGAAACATCAACGTGGCAGCGGCAGGCAGATTTATATAGGACCCAGTGTTACCTTGTTCAACATATATCGCGTTCAAGCTTCAAAGTAACTAGAAACTTTATTAGTACGCCAATTACATGAATTGTTGGAAAAGTATTACTCTTTCCTTCGTAAATAGCAATCTTGGAAATTATGTAGGATCGTCGTCCTTACCTATTTGAAAATGGTGATCTCAAAAGGAAAAATATACTTCCTCCTGTTCATTTTAATATGGTTTTAGCTAAACAAATTTGGTCCAAAATAATTATTCTTTTAGAAAAAATAAAAATGATATTATTGTTCTTTTACACATTTATCTTTATCTAATAAATTATCTACATCATTTTTTAAACAGTCTTCCAAGAATTATTGCTTAATTTTAGTAGAGATAACGGTAATCTAGTAAAAAACAATCCTTAAAATGAATGTCATTAAATGAAATTTTGAATGAATATGCCAAAAGCTTAAACAAGAATTAAAACGAACAGGAAGTAGTAGTACGAAAATCATTTATGCCCCTATTTGGCTATTCGAAAATACTACTCCCTCCGGTCCACAATAAGTGATCAATTTGCTTTTTTATTTTGGTCCAAAATAAGTGTTCATTTATATAATCAAGAAAGAATTCAATTTGTTTTTACAAGATTACCCTTATGTACATATCCCTAAAAAGTTTTCTTACTCCTCACATTAAATATTTAATTGAAAGAATTACAAGAAAATACACATGACTTCACACCATAACAAACCATGTTTTTAAGTTTTACCCGATCTAGCCCATATTGTACATATTTTGAAAACACTAGCTCTTGCAAATTTAAAATCTATGTTCTTACAACTATTGCTTCTAAAAGCTATGGAGTTAAATCTGTGTTCTCACAACCATTGCTTTCATTCTCTCTTCTTCTCACATATTTTACATATGCTTCAAGGGGTCGTCCGCTATTACTGCTTCTCCCCCTATGCCACCTGGTTGCAATGTAAAAAAATTGAAGAGTAGAAGTCCACCATTGAAGGTCATTCAAAGCTTTGCTTTCAAAATTAGAATTTTTTGAGTTTGTTTGTTGTTTGGATTGGGTGTTATTCCAATTGATTGAAAATATCAAAAGGAGTTCAAAATTTAAATTTGAAGTGATTTGGAGTAGATTTGAGCAAGATTTGAGTTAAATTTCAGAAAAGACGCAAGGAAGAAACGTAGTCAGTTTTTTGTAAAATTATGTATAATCTTGTATAATAGTGTATATGAGTGTATAAATACATCTTATACACTATTATACACTTTTATAAACCTTTATACAAGCGTCTGTAGACGAACTTCTTACACGATTTTTAGTTGCAATTCTTGTCCAAAACCAGTCCAAATCTCCATTAAATGACTTCAAATTTTATATACAACCTCCTTATACTATTTCTAACAAGTCTAAACAACACACACTCTAAATCTCTCACAAAATCATATTTAGAATTTAAACCCACATATTGAAGCTTGTTAAAAATCTAATTTTCACCACCCAAATGAATTTGGTTTGTTGAACTAATATTTGAGTCACAGTTACTGATTCGAAAATTAACTTAAAAGCTTGAGCAATCTTTTTTAAAAATTAAATAGAAATTTGGGAACCTATTGGAGTTGGATGTTGAATCTTAGCCTATTAATTTTTGGGTTATTTGGTTGTAAATTGAAATATGGGCTATAAAATTGAAAAGTAGGGAGCCCAATTGTTCTTACGTGAATTTTTCTCTATTTAATTAAGGGTAGTTTAGTTATACTAGGTATTTTTGTATAGAATTTAGTATTTTCTTAATGGGCGTTCCAAAAACAAATTGGTCACTTATCGTGGATCAGAGGGAGTAGTGATTTATGAGCGCAGATTGTCCTCGTCTAATTGGAGATAGTGAAACTATAATTATACTATACTCCCTCCGGTCCAAAATAAGTGATTTTTTGGCCTTTTTCTTGTGGTCCAAAATAAGTGATTTTTCCAGATTTCAAGAATGAATTAATTATTTTTTTCCTACATTGTCCTTGGAGTAAATAGTGTTGGAATATGTGTTAGGACTATATATGTGAGATAGTAAAGGTTAATATGGTCAATTCCATTGCTAATTAATGTTAAAAGGTGAATTTCTTAATCTGTGTGAAAACATCCAAAAAATTACTTATTTTGGACCGGAGAGAGTATTACACATTGTTTTCTGAGCCTATTTTAAAATTATCTCGGTGGAAAGAAACTAGACGCATATCATATTTTAATAACAATAATAATTATTGTTCAATTCCAAATAAGTTGGTGCCGGATATAGATTCTCATTGTACATATTTTTTGTTTAAATTCATCTTTGACCAATAAGTGCACAGATTATATTCCAACCTTATTTGTAAAGGATTTAAATTATATTTATTCCCAATATGAATAATTTTAATATTAACTAGTTATAACATGTTATTTATTATTCTATTTGTAATTAAGTATACAAATATAAATATTAAATTATTTGAGTATCTGTCGTATTGTTAGGACATAAAACTTAAAGTCGAAATTGAAACTCTCAAAAGGGGTTTAAGGGAGAGGCAAAAGAAAAGTAAAAGGAAAATAGAGAAATAGTAAGTAAAATTGCCCAAAACATTGGTGTACTTCCTAAAACGGGATGCATAAATACATATTCTTGGCAGGTGGCGGTTGGAAAACAGAGATTTCCTCATCCTAGTAAAACTGACGTTACTTTTCCTAAAACAAGAGTACAATCCGACACAGAGAGAAACCGTTTATAAAAACTGAATCAGGGAATTTGGAGGAGTTATCAACCCCTTCTCCCTCCTCTCTTTCTTCTCTACAATCACAGAGCCTAAATTATGCAGGCATGTAATCTCTTAATGTCAATTCCGATTACTAATTAACCCGTATTCTCGTCATAATCATTCGTTTTCTTTCTTCTCATTTCAGGAGATCATCCGTTACACCATCAAGCTTCTTCTTCTCTATATCGCCGTTTCTTTCTTTTTCCTCCATTCTTCTTGCCTTACGGTATCTATTCATTATTTAATTCTTATACATTAATATTTGAAACCCAGTTAAGATCGCACTGAATTTCTTTCAAAGTTGTGAATCTGTTATTGAATTCTCTTTTTTTTTTTTTTTTGGAATTTGATTTATAAACAGATTGGAGAAACTTGTAGCAGCAGTAATTGTGATGAAGGCCTAGTCTGCTCCACTTGTCCCGCTAATGGCAACACCCGCTCCAGATGTACTCGCATTCAACCCACTATTCCCACCACCAAGGTGAATTCTTAACTCCTAGTATTATTCACTTTCTTTTTTGTTTCCACATTAATGGTATAATTCAGATTTTATTTTTATTTTTGTGGTTGAAAGGTAAAAGGTTTGCCATTTAACAAGTATTCATGGCTGACGGCCCACAACTCGTTTGCATTGTCCGGGTCAAAATCTGCAACCGGGTCTAGTATTCTTGCTCCCACCAACCAGGAGGATTTCATTACTAGTCAGCTCAAGGTGATGTGCTCTATTTTTTCAGTAATAAGCTGAATATTTACCTCAGAATTCAGATAGTATAACATTCTTTGTCAACTGTCTTTGTCCTACAATGACTAAATAACCACAAGGGCTATTTGGTCAACTTCAATATGCTTTTGTACACACTACTTTTGCCTCCCCCCCCCCCCCCCCCAACCCCCTTCTTTCAGTAGGCAAAATAGAGAATTCAAAGGGAAAAAGAAAGATATCCAATGAGAGTAAGAACAAAAATTTGCCCCTCAGAGTCAGAGCACAATGTCTACCTTCTTCAGGTAGGGCTAAGGTCTATGTACATTCTACACTCCTCAGACCCCACTAGTGGGATTACACTGAGGTTTTTCGTTGTTGTTGTTGTTGTAGGCAGAGCAGGAGCAATGCTCACTGCTACTCAATGAGAAAAGAAATTGACAGTTTAAAGCAAAAAGATGGAAATACCTTATTCTGAAAGATGAACTCTTTTAGGTAGGAGAGAGAAGAAAAAGTCAGAATTGGGTGGCAATATATAATTGCAAAAACTCGTGTGTTTTACTTTGCTTAGAACACAAGCATGTGCTTTCACCTAATCATCTCATAAAATGTACACATGGAAATGTCCTAATGGGTGATCTGTGGACTCCACTTTACCTTATTTAATTCAACCTAATATCTCAATTATGAGATCAAGTTGCTATCTTTAATCCCCACTTTTTCTATGTAAGATCTTGCAAGGCATAACTTGATTCGCTTTTCGCAAAATCATAGCTGTGTGATTCAACTAATCTGAGACCTACTCCAGTAAAAAAAAAAAAAAAAAACCTTAAAAACATGCTTTCAGTAAATATGTTATGACCAATTCAGAGAGTAAATGGTTTATCCACATCAACATTCACAATATTTTACGCAGTGAAATCATTATTTTGTCAAGTTCAAAAGTTCTTAATGTTAAAACTTCGCTAAAGAAAATAATTTTAATGTCTGCAGAATGGTGTTCGAGGACTTATGCTTGATATGTATGACTTCAATGATGATATCTGGCTTTGTCACTCATTTGGTGGAAAGTGTTACAATGTTACAGCATTTGTAAGTTATCCAACACATCCTAATTATCCTTGATTACTGGATTCATTCAACTATCGTACTTGTTATTGCTGATTAAATGTGACTTCCTCTCTGGATTGTTTCAGCAACCTGCAATTAATTCGCTGAAAGAAATTCAAGTGTTTCTCGAACAAAACCCATCAGAGGTTGTCACCATCTTCATTGAAGACTATGTCTCATCTCCAAAGGGCTTGAGCAAGGTTTTTAATGCCTCTGGTCTTAATAAGTACTGGTTTCCAGTGTCTCGTATGCCCAAAAAAGGAGAAGATTGGCCGACAGTGGATGACATGGTCAAGCAGAATCAACGTCTTGTAGTATTCACCTCTAAATCATCCAAGGAGGCTTCTGAGGGCATTGCTTACGAGTGGAGATACGTTGTTGAAAACCAATGTGAGTTATAGTCTTTGCCTAATTTGATACTTATGTTACTGCTTGACATACTTTAAGAACGTCAATATTCTTGCATTCGAGATTTACTTAGCAGTTCTAACGAGTTCTTGTAACGTTGAATTGTAGTGTAAGTTTTGGTTTCATAATGGTATAGGTTGGTCCTTGGACAAACTTTTGTTCATTTGTAGCTTCACTAGTTTATCTTCCCCACGTTTGGTACCATTCAGAAATCGTTGCTCAAACTATTGGCAACTTGATATGTTAACCACATCTTTTGCAGATGGTAATGGTGGGATGAAAGTCGGTTCTTGTCCAAGTCGATCTGAATCATCTCCTATGAGTACATCGTCAATCTCTTTGGTTCTGCAGAATTATTTTCCTGACAATCCCAACATAACAGCAGCTTGTGTGGATAATTCTGCTCCATTAGTTAATATGACGAAAACTTGCTTTGAAGCAGCTGGCAAAAGGTGGCCAAATTTTATTGCTGTTGATTTTTATCAGGTATAGCGTTCACATGAGTCATGTTCTTTTTATTAAATTATTCTCCTGTTAAACGTAAGAACATTATGATCAATTTTGCTTACTGATGCAGAAAAGTGATGGTGGTGGAGCTCCAGAAGCTGTAGATGAAGCAAACGGCCAATTAGCTTGTAATTGTAGCAGTATTGCCTATTGCAAGGTTTGCTTACTAGCTTTGACTTTAAATTCTATAATGAACACAACACCACATTTGACACTATTAGAAAATCATTCTAGCAGCATTTAGGATTTTATTTCCTGCTCTTCTTGAGCTTTCTTGATACTTTACTGCCTTTCAACTTAGAAACAGGACAAGTTAATTCTGCTAAGATGCAAAATTCTAAGAACAAACTATTTGCAATAATAAGGTGAAAAGTGCCTGCATTTACTGGTTTCAAGTTACTGATTCCAGAGGTTGTTCTCATTGGAACAACTCAAGAGAAGGCGAATACTTTTGACCATTTTGGCCGAGAACAAATTTGAATTTGGCAATAAGTAGTTACGAAATTTGTAATTTTATATTTTGCCTCATGCAAATAATCTAAATTGAAAAAGAAACATATACTTGATTGTCTTGATGCTGCTATCAGAACTAATAGTGTGGATATTACCTTTTTCATACTCTTGTATACCACTGTAATCAACCTTTGCTTTACTTTGAACATTCTATTTCACAGTCCCAGAATTGGATTCTCCTTATTGTTATTTACTTCATTGCATTATTCTTATCTAATTTACCATGAAACTATATTGATTTTCTTTGATAAGCAGGCAAGTGGTACATCGCACAAATGCGAGGCACCAATGTTATCACCCCCACCACCAGCGCAAGCAACAACTACAGGAACATCACAAGATGGCAACAACGAGAACAACAATAATTCTCAATCAAGCAGAAGTAAACCACTTCATTGGTTCATTGGCACAATTTTTGCGGCAATTCTTCTTCTGCACGCATAGTTGGCGCATTCTCTGAAAGTCTATACTCAATTTTTCAGAAGAGACACACTACCTGACGATCGTCTTATCTTTTATTTTTTAAATTTATCTTGTATTTACTGGTTGAGTTTCTTCACTTATCGGATATTAAAGTGTTTATATGAGTGTGTAATCAAAATGAGTACCGACACATGATGGATGGGGCAATGAGCTGCAGCGGGAAATTGAACTGTTTTTTTTTAAATTATGCATGGAAGCTGGTGTTAGACTTTTTCCTCAGCACATAAATTAGACAGTATCAAACTTAAGCAAAATGGAACGAGACATCTTGGGACCCACCCCAACACCATGTGCAAAATGAATACATAAAAATATTAAAAAGAGAGAATAAGTACACTATATTAACTGAAGATAGGCAAACCATTGTTCAGGAAGAAGCTGCCAAGCTGAGGCGGATCTAGATCAAATATTACGGGTTCCCGTTAATCCAGTAATTTTTGCATAAACTTCGTATTTGTAGTAAAAAATATATTAAAAGTATAAGAATATTTGGCTTGGAACCTAGTTCATTGGTTCAGTTATCATGTAAATTAACTTGAGATTTTTGTAGGTACCCATAAACTTAAAATTCTGGATCCGCCTCAGGCCAAGCATATGCCAAAAGTCTTGTTTTTTAATTTTCTTTCCCTCTCTTGCACAGTCAAACACCATTATATAAAATGAAACAAAGGAAGTACATGTAATTTTGTTGAAAGCTGGACAGAGATCGTTTCAAATGTTTCTAAATGAGTGTAAGAGTAGTACTTCACACTTATTCATTTAGTGTATATTTTATACACTCCTCATATGCAGGTGTTTGGATTTCATCAAATAATTCTTACATTTAACATTTTAAACTAAAAAATATACTATTAACTATTGCTAATTGAACATCTTAAGTATTGATTTCTTTTCGCAAGAACCATATGAAAAGTATGCATACAACAACTTAATTAATTAATCGAAATTTGAGATTAGATGGAGAGAAGAATGGTTAAGAATGTGTCAGAATGTAATAGTACTTGATTTTAGGATTTAATTGGAATAAGATTGCCTTAATTAATTTACTTAGGGACGAAAATTAGGAAAAAACATACGGATTAAGGAAAGTAGGGGGTCATGCAAATTTGGTGGGAGAAATCATAGTTCTATTAAAGGCTACAAATATGAGCATCACCTTCGCATGCCCAGCGCTATATGAGGAGTTGTGCACACATATAGCTTATTGCGCCGACCTTAATGGCTCACAGAAAGAATGTCTGTGAATCACAAACAGAGGCGTGAAACATTCTCTGCACTCGTACGTTGAGGATATGGCTAATTGGAAGAGCATAATAATAAACTCAATTTCATTGCCTTTCAAGTTACTATGTGCAAAGGTATGGAGGTCCCTAAAGTTCCTAGTGCTGAGTTCGGAGCTTCAAGGAGTCGACCCGCTCTTTGTTTTGTCTTCCTACATGCTGATCCCAAGTGATCCAGATAATCCATTTACTAGGGATTATGCAAGCTAATAATATTTAGGTAAGTTGTTTCTGGTATTCCTCACTCAAATTAACTGATATACATTTCTTGAAAACAGCAACAACAGTCAGGAGACACAAAACGCGCACAGTGACACCAAAATACAGGGACATATATAATTAACTTGTAAGGCAACAATTCATGTATTCCCGATCGATGGTTTCTACTCGAATCATTATATACACATATAGTTGAAATATTATTAAAAGCGTCCACTCGATTTACAATTCATGTGCCTCTGCATAAGGAAATAATGTTCCATCCTTTTTCGAAACACAAGACCGCCCTCTATCTGGCAGCAAATACTAATGAAAAGTTTACCTTCTAAGTCTAACAAAAACTGTAAACTTGTTAAATAGAGGTATCTATTCCAAGAAATCTGACAAATGTGGCTTAGTCAATGTAACGACCCGATCGGTCGTTTTGAGTGTATTAGCCCAATCGCCTATTTATTGCTTCTCCCGTATCTTTTTTGCTTAAGTGACTTGCCGGGAGGTTCTGTTGTTGGTTTCGGAGTGTTTTGGGACACTTAGTCCCTAAAACGGAAGTTTAAGTCTTAGGATTTTGACTGTAGTTGGAACTGTGTGAAGACGACTCCGGAATGGAGTTTGGTCGGTTCCGTTAGCTTCGTTGGGTGATTATGAACTTAGGAGCGTGTCCGGATTGTTATTTGGAGGTCTGTAGCTGATTTAGTCTTGAAGTGGCAAAAGTTGATTTTTTGGAAATTTTGACCGAAAGTGGACTTTTTGATATCGGGGTCGGATTCCGATTCCGAAAGTTGGAGTGGGTCCGTAATGTCGAATATGACTTGTGTGCAAAATTTGAGGTCAATCGGACGTGGTTTCGTAGGTTTCGGCATCGATTGTAGAAGTTTGAAGTTTCAAAGTTCATTAAGTTTGGATTGGAGTGTGATTCGTATTTTTGTTGTTGTTTGATGTGATTTGAGGGCTCGACTAAGTTCGTATGGTGTTTTAGGACATATTGGTATGTTTGGTTGAGGTCCTGGGGGGCCTCGTGTGAGTTTCAGATGGTTAACGGTGGGAATTGATTTTGGAAGATGGCTGAAGTTCTGTGATCTGGTGCATCTGGTTTCCTTATACGCGATCGCGAGAGATGGTCCGCGATTGCGTAGGCTAAGCTGGGCAGAGGAAGGATTTGTTCTTCGCGTTCGCGGGCAGAAGTATGCGAACGCGTATTGGTGTGACGTGGTGCTTCGTGAACGCGTGGCCAAGGTCGCGTTCGCGTAGTGTTAAGGAGGCTAAAGCTGGGCCACGCGCTTTGCTCATCGCGAACACGAGGGGTCGTTCGCGGTCACGTAAGTATGAGAGCCAGTGCATCGCATTCGCGTGGTGTTATCCGCGTTCGCGTAGGGTTAAATTTTGGGCCAGCGAAGTTGTGCTTCGCTATCCCGAGGCAATTTCTGTGATCGCGATTAAGGAATCACTGGGTAGTTATAAACATTTCAAAAACGAGGGTTCAGCCATTTTTATCAAAACTTGAGATAGAGAGCTCGGATTTGCACGAGATTTTTTGAGTTTCGGAGACATCGATTGGGTAATGATTCTTCACTTATTTTTGGTTAAATCCCACTAATTTATCATTAATTCCATCGTTTAATTCGGATTTGGGTTGAAAAATTTGGGAAAAATGGGAGAAGTTCTTCAACTAAGATTATGGGTTTTGATTGGGATTTTAATATCGGATTTGGATAATATTGGTACGAGTAAACTCGTGAGTGAATGGGTGTTCATATATTGTAATTTTTACCCGATTCCAAGTCGTGGACCCGGATCGACTTTTTGGGACGATTTTCTAATTTCTTGCTTAAGCCTTGAATTTATTAATTAGATTAGTTTCTTATAGTTACATTTATGATACGTAATTGCTTTTGGCTAGATATGGGCCATTCGAAATCGGATAATCGTGGAAAAGGCATTGTTATCGATGATTGAGCTTGGTTCAAGGTAAGTGGTTTGCCTAACCTTGTGTGGGGGAACACCCCTTAGGATTTGGCACTGTTGTGATATGTGAGTGCCGTGTACGTGAGGTGACGAGTGCGTACACGGGCTAATTATTGAAAATCCGATTTTTACAAAATAATAACCTGTTTCACCTTAATTGAGTTATACTAGCATGTGTAGTTATCATGTTTAGCCTAGAATAGCATGTCTACGTGCCTTAAATACTTATCTAAACTCTGTGCAGCATGCTTAGTGGATTCCTGCTTCTTCCTTGACTTGTACTTAGTCTAAACTGTAGGATTTCTTGCCGTAATTGTTATTTCCATTATTTTGAGCTGCGTATTTACTTTGGGACCATGGGACGGTATTCTGAGAGATCCCCCTGCATATTTACTTTGGGACTACGGGACGGTATCCCGGGAGATCCCCCTGCATATTTACTTTGGGACTACGGGACAGTATCCCGTGAGATTTCCCCTACACATTTACTTTTGGGACTACGAGGCGGTATCTCGGGAGATCCCCTGTTGTTGCTCCAGTGTACTGTACTGTACTGTTATTCTTCTGTGATTTCCTCTTTGTTAAATTTCAGTCTCTTATTATATTGTCATATTCTTCTGCTTTGTTTATATATATATATATATATATATATATATATATATATATCAGTGGGCCCTGACCTGACCTCGTCACTACTCGACCGAGGTTAGGCTTGGCACTTACTGGGTACCGTTGTGGTGTACTCTTGCTACTCTTCTGCACATGTTTCATGTGCAGTCCAAGTACCTCCCACCAGCCCTGCTATTAGCTGTGCGCTTGTTGCTGCTCTTGAGACTTCAAGGTACATCTGCCCGCGTCCGCAAACTTCGGAGTCCCCCTCTATCCCTTTGATGTTGTTCCTCCTTTACTTCTTCTAGTTATTGATGTATAGAAAGACAAAAATCTTAGAAGCTTGTGACTTAATGATATTTCAGGTCTTGGGAAAATTCTGTGTATATTTTGAGAGTTGGTTATGTATATGCCGAGCGGCATTTCTATTAGTTATTTAATTATCTGTTGTTGTTAGTTGTTAAGGTTTTGCTTTCATTTTGGTTATTTCTGCAAATGTTAGGCTTACCTAGTCGTAGAGACTAGGTGTCGTCACGACATCTCACGGAGGGAGGATTGGGTCATGACAGTCAAGATAGATATATACATGGCAGATGTACAAGGTAAGTATAGGTTTAGAGGAACCAGTAACTTTTAGGTGAGTCCATTACTTAAATGGTCACTCAACTATCCCAAATTATCTGCTAAAGTCACTTTTCTTTCGTTTGTAACAACAAAATCACTTAACTATGCATATAGAACTCAGAAGGTCACTCAGCTAGATTTTCTAAATTTGTTATTGTCAAATACCTATGTTACACTCTAAATTATCAATTTTTTTTTATCTTTTTAAATATTATAATATTCTTCTCTTTTTAATCTACATTGTGGACTTACCTATAGAATAAATATATTTTATTAATAAAATAAAAATAAAAGATTAGTTTTCAGCTCATATAATGACGGAATAATAATATAATTGAGCATAATTTTCAAGAATATATAATTTATATTATAAAAATACCTTTATTTAAATAATTAATTTCATATTACGTGCATGGAATATATATTTTACAACCTTTATTTTCTTTCATTCTCAATCGTGTAAATAAACTTTTGAATTTATGTTGTTAATACTAAAATTATTACAAATAAATTATTCTA